CGTAAACCATCAAATGGGGGTGGGGAGAATGACAAGTTTGGCCGTGTACTTCCATTCCCTCTTAAGTCTCCTTGTACCTCCCCTCCTCAATAATTATAGTTTGCAGAAAACAATTACTTACAACAACCAGATCCCTCCTTCATTTATAGATTGGCATCTGGTCAACCTGTCCAGGTCACAAATAACGACCTTATGTCTCTGTGGGCTGTGTAATTCCATAGAGGCTCCCAGTTCCCAAAACATTTGGTCAAATATCCCAGTCAGTGAAGGTATTTACTCCATTCTTGACACATGAGATGGGCACCTGTCCTCTGCCTAATCACCCCAGGGCTGGCAGCTCAGCTCTTCTGAGGGTGTCCACTGTGTGTCTGGACAGTGATGGCTGTCACACCATCTTTATGTGGACCAGAGGCCTGACATCCTGGAACTCCCTCTATTCTTATGCAGTCAAGAATAATCTGCTCTTTCCCACCAGAGCTGTGTTCTTTCAAGTAACCAAAGGCACTGACATTCTTCTCTTGTTTCTATCTCTGTGTCTGTCTCTGTTTCTCTGTCTCTGTCTCACTCTCTCACCCTTCATTCCTTACACATCACTTGATACTGACGGCCCACAGATCTAGCTCACTCCCAAGCTCCATAAAGACAGGCACTGATACTGGCTAATGACATAATTCTCTGTCATTTCAATAAAACTTAATACTTGTAGATTTCCACATTCCAGAATAAGTCCTATCCCTCTAAGTTAAAGTGACATATGTGAGATGAAGTTTGTACCTTGAGTTCAAATTTTTAGGCATTACCCCAATGCAGTGGCTACAGAATGGACTGAGGAAAGAGTCTGAATGTCTTCCTTATAGTTAGGCTAGTCTAAGTAATGGGAGTATACCCAATAAGTGGCTGTTATTATTTCATATTCTCATGTTTTTATTTCCCCCACGTCCTATGCTTTGTCCAGTCTCACTGGAAGCAAGAACCAATATGACCACCATGGGAAGTTCCTGCTCTTTCCTTGAGAACTTTGTGATATCTCTTTATATGGTTTTTTTTCCCCATAGTACATTATGGGACTTCTGTTTGTACTGGTTTATATTTATCTCCATCTTTTTCTCCCCTTTCTCTTTTCACCCTGAGCCACTGATGGAGCCACGGCACATCCCATTGGGGAGCTTCTGGGTCAGCAGGGTCAGGAACCACACCCTGTCCTAAGTTGGGTCTCTGCATAGCCAGCTGTCCACGTCTTATATGTTCCTCTCTCTTCCAAAATTACCATCTTCAGCTGGCAGAAAGTACGACTACCACCTGTGTCTCCCAAATCCCCTGCGGTATTATTGAGGCTTCTGAAGATCCTGGGAAGCCATTTTTAGTCTAGTTAACTATGTCATTTCTTCCACTATGGTCGGCAAAAATAAATGGGATTTGTGACTCACGTCAGGGCTCTGCATTGTTTCAGGCAATGTATCCAGGAAGAAGGGGCCCTTCCCAGTTAGCAAGTCATACATCTGGTATCAGGGTGTTATCACCGTGTCCAGATGGGCAGACTGCTGGTCTCATGTCTTATTATCTGTATTACTCTGGGAGTGATTTATGCTTGTGGAGTCTCAGTTTTCTTCTCTAAAAGATAATTACTCTGATCTCCCTGATAGAGTTGCTATGATTAGATGAGATATTTTGGAATGGAATTCTTAGTACAGTGCCTAAATAGTAATAACCAATGCTGGCAGAGGTGCTGATAATGCTGGTAGTGATGGTGATGATTGGGAAGGTAACAATGGGATGTTGGCGATGCTGCTGCTACCACTATTGATTCTTCTCTGTGAGATCTATAGGGAAAAATTTCTTTTCCCCTTGATCTGTCCTCCTAATAGTTTCTGAATATTCCCTTTAGTCTCTTTTGAGTAAACACTGCTTTTTCAGAATCTCTATTACCCTTCAGGGATAAACTTCATTCTCTTCTAGCTTAAAAAAAAACACCTGCTATTTTTTTTTTTTGATACAGGATCTTGTTAAGTAGCCCAGTCTGGCCTTGAACTTGTGGTCTTCCTGCCTCAGTCTCACAAGTCACTGGAATTACAGGTGTGTGCCACCACACTCAGTTTGTCCTTTGCCTTTTGTGGGATACAGTTTTCTTTGTGATTTTTCAAGTGGTTTTGTTTTCATCTGTTCCTTGATAACACAAAAGACATTCAACATACTCTCTACTCAGGAAGCCCTGTGCCTTTGCAGTACAGACAGCGATCGCCCTTGAAGGAAACTTCTAGGAAACATAGGCACCAGGGACCCATGGATTAATGCCTTTAATATTTGAGAGCAATAAGCAAGATAAGCCATGATCCTTAGCTCTCCCCCTGCAGATTGCTGGCATGCTCATTTGTTCCCCTTCACTCACTTTCCCTCACCCCTTCTAGCTTGCTGTGTGTCTCTGTCTGTCTGTCTGCCTGCCTGTCTCTGTGCTTCAGTAAGGCTTGAACTCAGGGCCTTACTTAGCTTTTTTAACTCAAGGATGGTTCTCTCTCTCTTGAGCCAAGCTCAGTTTTGAACTTTTTTTTGGTTATTAATTGGAGGTAAGAGTTTAATAGACTTTTCTGCTTGGGGCTGGCTTCAAACTACGATCCTCAGGTCTCAGCTTCCTGAGTAGCTAGGATTTCAGGTGTGAGCCACAGGCATCTGGCCTTCCTCTAGCTCTTAATAAGAAAAGCAAAGCAGGGATATTTAGAGCCCGTCTTTGAGTGCATGCTCACATGTAAGACTCTCACCCAGCTGAGGAAATCTAATACCTGTCAGAGCGCCCCCCTCCCCCAATTCACATAGAAACACACAGCACACCTGAGAGAAACCACACATTTAGGAATCTTACTCAGTGCTCCTTCAGTATGCTTTCTACCCTAAACCTCCATCCTATTAACACCCCACATTTTATACTAATAGAGTATTTTACACACTACAATGTATCTGAGCTTAATTCCTGTAGACTAATATAATTGCTTTCCACAACACTCTTGCGAGAATAAGACATTCCATCCTTCTTTCATAGCAGGGAGGGAACAGTACTGCACTGGATCATGCAGAAGGTTAACAGTCTGATGATTGCAGCAAGCCTTGCTCTACTGCTCATGTATGGACCCATTGTCTCTGGGATCTTCTGCAACATCAGCCACAGGGCCACGGTCCTCGTTTGGAAGGTGTTTTCAAGGAATTAGGCAGGACAGCAGTGCATGCCCTTGGACATCTTCAGATAAGAAAATAGTTCTTGAGCATGACCAAAGACACGAAGGAAGTGCGTTGCATATTTCAGGACCAGAGCCCATTTAACTGAAAGGAAGGGCAGGCAAAGGAGCGTGTCTTTCCGCTGTCCCTCCCTTCGGCTGATTACAGCTGGGTAGACTCTAATGGAGCCCCTGGGAACCAAGCCCTGCTGACTGGAGGTGGGCTCTGCTCACCCTCCTTGGTTTGATGTGGCTTCAGGATGCTGACTGTGCTGGTGCCATGGTCATCAGCTCCCTGCACCTGTGCTATGTTGCTAATGGGTTTTCATTGATTCTCTTGATGGGGACCAGCCAGGGTGTCATATAACATGAAAGATCACTGGAGCCCAGTGTGGCTCATGGAGACCCAGGAGGCTGAGCATGCGTGTCTGCGGGCGCATGCACTACCTACAGCTCCACAAGGGTATCTGGGAACAGAGATTTATACGCTGCGCGTGCTTGAGTGGAATGGACTCCTCAGATCAGGAGGACTGCTCCAAGGCACACTCTTGGTTTTTACGTTTCCCTTAAAGCTATGGTTTGGCGATGACATGTAACATTATTATGGTATGGCAGACCCCTCTCCACCCCCATTCCCAGCTAGCATTCTCAGTCTTAGAAATAGCAAGGGAATTACTCAGGGAGCTTGCTACCAACATCAGCTCTCACATTCAAAATCCCTAGAGGTTCAAGGTAAGCCCCCAAATCTGCAGTGTTGCAAGTAAAGCTGACAAAGTGGCCCGTGGAACTCTCTAACAAGTGCTGTGAAGGCCTGTGGTTTGCGCCCAGGGAATTCCCCATTTCCTCTTCTGTGAGACATGCTACAAATTCTTCCTTAATGGATTTTTTTTTAATCAAAATTGAGAACTAACTGCTGGGTATTGGTAGCTCATGCCTGTAATCTTTGTTACTCAGAAGTCTGAGCTGAAGATCTTGGTTCAAACTAGCCTGGGCAGGAGAGTCTGTGAGACTCTTATCTCCAATTAACTTCCCTCCCCCTTCATAAAAAACAACCACAACAAAAATACCCCAGAAGTGGAGCTGTAGCTTAAGTGAGACAGAGTGCTAGCTTTGAGCAAGAAAGCTCAGGGAGGGGCTGGGAAGGTAGCTCAGTGGTAGAGTGCTTGCCTTGCATGCATGGGGCCCTGGGTTCAATTCCTCAGCACCACATAAGCAAAAAAGAAAAAAGCCGCAAGTGGCGCTGTGGCTCAAGTGGTAGAGCGCTAGCCTTGAGCTGAAGAGCTGAGGGACAGCACCCAGGTCCAGAGTTCAGGCCCCACGACCGGACCCCCCTCCCCCCACAAAAAAAGAAAGCTCAGGGACAGGGCTCAGGCCCCGAGTTCAAGACCCAAGACTCTCTCACATACACACAATATTAGAACTATTGGTGACCAAATCTTTGGTTAACCCTAGAGTGGTACTCTGGGGCATAAGATCAGGAACTCAGCTTGTTCCAGAAGAGACCCATCTTAAGGGCTCAGATACAGGCACAAGCCTTCACTGCTTCTAATCAGGCAATCTGCCTTCCCTACACTGTGCTGTGGACCTTGTATGCCTAAGCAACATGACAATTGGGCCATGGTTCAGAAGTCTTGCTTCCTTCCATGCCTGCAGGAGTAGCTGGCTGTGCCAGGTCAGGAGAAACTGAAGAGACAGTGACCTGGAACAGGGAGCTGCTGGGGAGAGGACTCACGGCTTGGTCCCCGGATCTTGATGGGCTTACTGCTGGTCATGGACTGGGAGCATGTCTGGCACACACATTCTTTACCACTGAAGGTCACCTTGTCTCCAATGGGGAAAGGCTTCCTGGAAGAGAGATGAAGAAAAATGTCAGTGCCTGCTCTTGCTGACCTGATAATGTGTTCTGAGCAGCACTCTGACTTCTAGGGCAGGCGGGAAGTTCAACTGTTCTGTACCACAGAATGATCTGATTCCACTGAAAGGAATGGCAGGTAAGGAGGGAGCTTTCCCATTGCCTCTCTCCACAGCTGATTGTGGCCAAATGAAGTCTCAGTTAGGGACCATGAGGTCAGCACTGGAGGCTTATGAGCGGCTTGTATTATTTGACTTAAACATTGCAAATCACGTTGCGCATCTGTACTTATACATCTCAGCTGGAAGAAGAGGCTCACTCCTCACAGAGCTGTTACCACCTTTAAAAAACACATTCTTCTTCTTATTCTATTATTATTATTATCTCTAAGTAGTGTACAAAGGAGCTGTCATTTAACAATGAATAATTTGTGAATACAAATTCCTTGATCAGTGTCACCCCTTTTAGCATTCTTACTCATCCCTTCCCTCCCCACCTTTCCCCTCACTTGTCTTAATTTTGTAGCATGTATATCAAATTATTGCCTCCCCTTCTTCTCCTCTTCATCCCTCTACACCCATTCCCTTTGACCCCACTCTACCCCTTTCAAGCACCTGCAACCATGTTCACTGCAGCACTATTCACCACAGCCATGGTTATAGAATCCGCTCAGTTATGTTACCTCAATGGACAAATGAGTCAAAAAAATGTGGTATATTTACACAATGAAGTTGTGTACATCATCCATTAGAAAGAATGATATTGTATCATTTGTAAAAAATGGAAAGTCGGGAAAAATTATGTCAAGTGAAGTAAATCAGGCCTACAGAAACAAAGGATGCATGCTTCCCCTTGTATGTGGAAGCTAGATTTAGCTTATAAACTTAAAAATAAACATGTTGGGTGTTATGCAAGTGTATACAAATGTATTAATTGCAATTTGGTAGATTCAAGGGAGAACTCAAATAGTGTAATTCCTTAGAAAGGAAAGGTAAATAGTCCCTCTTCTTCGAAGGAATTTTCCGTCGGTTTGCCCTTTCTTCATATATTAAGAATTCATTTTTAAAAAAGGGCTGTGAGTTGAAGCCCAACGACTGACCAAAAAAAATTCATTCAACTCCAGACTCACCAACATTTCTTTCTTTTCACTACTCATTTATCAAAATTCTTTTACCCAATAGGAAGACATAGGAAAATATCTTTTCCTCTGTCTCTGGTCTCTGTCCTTGTTCAGTTCCATAGTTCAGGGGTCTCAAGCTCACACCGCTTTGCCTTTCCAGTGAAATTACAAGCCATCTGCAGACTCCTCAGTTACATTGTTTATCTGTGTTTGCTCCTGCAGTGCGGGACACCTGCCATATGCACTCTGATGTAACACTTGACAAAGATTTCCAGTGTCTGTCTGCTTTCCTTGTTTTGGCAGCATGAGACTGTGCAGGGAACCTTGGGTAAGGATTTGGACATCTTAGCCCTCATTGTGGCCTAGCCACTAGCTCATGGAGATATAGCATGACCTCAGAGAGTCATCTTAACTCTATGAGGTTTGACACAACTCATCTTGTACCATATGGACCATTTGAGCTCATTTCTGATGGGTCTGAGATCCCAGGAACCAGTGCCCAAGTTGTTTTTCATTATTACTTTACTTTATTGTTATTATGGAGGTGATATACAGAGGGGTTACAATTATATGAGTCAGGTAATGAGTACATTTCATTTTGTACAGTGTCTTCTGTTCATTAACTCTTTCCCAGTCCCTCCCTCCCATCTCCACCCACAATCTGTATGGCTCACTTTCATGTGTCCAGCGAGCTCTACTGCTGCACTTTTCCACCCTTTTACCTTCCAGTTCGGTACCCTCCTCCCAACCCTTCTGAAGGTATATACTTGAATGCACCATACATAAGATAAAGAAGACAGAATCATCAAAAACTAAAAACTAAAAACTGAAAATAGCAGAGGTCTCTTGTTTCCATATCTTGGAGTTCATTTCAATATGGATGTTATTTTATATAAATATGAAGAGGCACGTAGGCATTGCACCTTTGTGTTTCTTTCCTGAGAGTATCTTCTTTTGATCTCCCAGTGTCCATGTTTTAAGAAACAGATGAATGAATGAATGAATTTCCACTGAGTGGTTATATTTTTACATATACTGCCAGTAGTCTCAATCAGAACAATGAAGTTTGTTGAGATTGGTTTGGGAAAGCAGAAATGGATGACCTAGAGTAGTGGAAGGGGTAAATTTAATCAGGTACATTGCATGTTTATGTGGGTATGTTCAAGTGAAAGTCCCATTATAACTAATTGATGTTAATAAAAAAATAATGAAAAAATTACAAAAAGAAACTCTCTTTGGTTGGTTACTCTAGTTGATAACAGCCAGTGTTTATTTTGTGGAGATAATAAATGAACCTAATTCACGTATAAACCCTTTATATATACACACACATATATATATATATATATATATTCCAATCATGCTTTATTTATGACTTGATCAGAGCTGGCAAATAAATTTTAACATATTTATGGGCAGGGCTGAAGTTTTCTTCCATTTTTTTTCATTTCCTTAATGTGATACTTGGCATGCAACGGACCCTTAATGTACATTTGCTAAATTAACAAGAGATTGAAATGTTGGGCAGGGTTGAGCTCTCTACCACCAGGGAAGTCCTTAGAGAAGAGGGATGACTCCAGTGATAATGAAAAGAACAGTAAGAACAGGCACACTGCTAAGTGCAAGCACTGAGTACCACTCACTGAGCTCAAGTCCTTGCATGCATCATCAACTGGATCTTTGTGTAAACCCAGTGAAGGGGGGCAGTAGTTTTGACTCTCATTATTGATAGGGAAACTGAGGCTTTCAGAGATGGGGCCACATGCCAGATACAGTCTGTAAGTAGGAGAGAAGCTACAAACAGGCATCCTTGTATCACCTGGGGCTGAGGGGTCTAGGAGCCTTGGGCAGAGTTCTAAGGGACTAGGATAATTGTTCTTTTGGAGGCTTCTTGGTGGGAAATGGGAAGCTGAGTATGGGGCTGAGACCTTTGCCTTGCTTCCACCAGAGAACGAAGTCGTGGTTTACATTGGACTGCACATAGCAAAAAGGACTCTGCTGCTAGAAGGTTTGAAAACCACTGTCCTGTCGATTCTTGTAGTTCCTAAGATCCTGGTCTCCAGCATAAGCCCTAGAGCTGCCCAGGGAAAGTCATGTCTTCCCATTTCCCCAGGCTCACTCAAGGAGAGGCCGCACACCCTGCCACCTACTCACCTGCACAAGCTACACACGAAGCACTTGGGGTGGTAGGTGCACACCCTGCCACCTACTCACCTGCATAAGCTACACACGAAGCACTTGGGGTGGTAGGTGCGGCCCAGGGCAGAGATGACTTCCCCCGTGATGAAGTCCCGGCAGCTGTCACAGCGTGTGCCATAGAGTTGCTGGTAGTCCTGGGTGCAGATGTACTCCTGGTTCTTGAAGAAGAAGCCTGACTGGGCCAGGCCACAGCCACACACTTGGGGAAATCAAGAAGGAAGAAAGGGTAGACTGAGTGTAGGGGCAGTCTGAGGGCTTCACTGGGGGGGGCCCTGGTGGTTGATTTTGCTATGAGTGGCCAGAGAGTTAGTTTAAGGAATCTATACATCATGATCAGAAAAGAAAGGCATTGTTTCTTCCAGGGAAACAAATGGCTCTCAGGGACAACAGAACTCTAGCAGTCTCCTGAACATATCGGTCCAGCTAAAGCCAGGAAGGGTCAGTCAGGAAGGGGGCTGGTTAACAATCAAAAGAAGTTGAAGAGAAGCTCCTTTGATTCTGTGGTCAGCTCCCCTCATACAGAGACTGCACTTACCAGGAGATGGGTAGCTTGACCTCCTACAGAGATTGCCTTTGAGAGGGAAGAAGCTGGCCAGGCTTCATTCCAGGAAATCATTCCAGCAGAGAGTTACAGCTTTTATGTACATTCATAAATAGGTTCCATGGTTTCTGACAGGTTTTCTGAAGATTTTGGCTAGTTCAGCATTCTCAAGAATGAACAATGGGGAGTTAGGCATAGTAGCACATGAGTGTAATCCCGGCACTACGGAGGCTGAGGCCCGAAGACCGTGAGTTTAAGGCTGAGCTATATAGCAAGAATTTATCTCAGAAAAGAATCATCAGTGGTGGAGCAATCAGGAAAATAGTTTCCAAGCTTGTAGACTGAAGGAACCAATCAGGAATTGAGTGACATCACCCAGTAAATATTACTTCATCATTAACAAGATAAGTTGCTTTGCAAAAGTAAGCAGGTCAAAAGCAGGAGAGATTTCCCAGTACATGCCAGACATATTTTGTAAGTGTTTGTTCACTTTTGTGGGCCAGAAGCAGGCTTCAAGGGCCAAGCTGAGTGAAGAGAAGGCAGGTCCAGTGGTCACGGCAGGATAGTAAGAGACACAAGTGTCTAGGTATGCAGCTATTTTACTGCCACCAAATCTCTGAGTGACAGTGAACTTGGCCCTCTCTTTCCCGGGGTCTCTAATCACTTCTATACAGGCTGAGCTTTTCAGACATGATCTCTTGTGGGTCTCTGGGAAGAAGAGCTTCCTTCAGTGCTAACCATGTGTCTAAACGTTTCAGTTCAATGTGAAGTCTTGTTCAGGGCCCCTGATGCCACCTCTGTGAAGAAGCAGGGTGGTGGAGATGGCACTGGTGGGAGGTGGGGAAGGGTAAATCTTTCAGCAAACATCATGAGAATTCATCATACCAAACAATGCCTGATTTCAGAAGCATGCAGAACAGGAGAACTCGCTGTTCTGAACCTGCAGGTGGTAAATCAATTGTTGGGTCATGGCCTACAACCTCATTGGAAACAGCTCCTGTTTTTTCCCTTCTTTTCTCTCCTTTGTTTTCCCTGCCAATTCCACCCCCAGGCCACCTCTCCCAGTGGGAGAAAACCAAGAGGTCATAAGAAAACCTGGAACAATCAGTTCCTCCATTTCCCTCCCAGAAGCTGCAGGAGGAAGTTTTTGGTGGAAAGGATGTAAAGATTGATAAGAATCTCAAGGGATCCTGGAATACAGAGAAGAGCATGGGATGGAGGTATGTAGCAAGCAGGACCAGATATATTTGAATTTGTGCAGAACCAGGCATTCAAAGACAAAACCAAACCAAACCAAAACCCAAGAACGGCCACAGGGTGTACTGTATGAAACTGGTGGGAACTGATGCACCCAGGATAGTCTTGACTGTATGAATCAAAAAATAAAGTCTATTAATTTTTAAAAAGCAGACCACATAATTGGACAACTGGAAATGACAGAGATGCTTTACAAATAGAGATGCTTTGCAAATGCAGAGTGGGGTACTCACGGTAAATATGAGAGCTTGCACATGATTCTTGCCTGCTCCAGGGTATTAAGGTTGCAATCCTGAGTTCTACCACTCAAGTGCTCCGTGACTTTGACAAAGTTACCTCCCTTCTCTGGAGCTCATTTGCAAAATGAGGATGCTAAGATAGTAACGAGGACACATCTGGACAGGAGGGTCTGGGACTCTGTCATGGAATTCTGTTGATTTCCAGCTTTGAATCAGACTTGATTTTAGGACATTTCAAACTCAGAGGCCGAAGGGTCCCAGATATACAACATCTTAATTGTGAAATATACTATGCATAGAAGAAATATAGAAAATATAGGCATACCGTTTAAAGAATAAGAAAATATACATTCATGGGCCCACTACCAAATTTGTAAACTAAGACATCCCAGCACTATATAAGCTTTCTTTTTTTCTCCCTGAGAGTTCCTCCTTCCCACACAGTCTCTAATTGTATGTGGGCCATCCCCTTGCTTTTCTTACGGTTTTACCACCTATGATACTATCCATAAGCAGGGTACTTTGTTAGGCTGGTCTGTGTCTGGATTGGTGGGCGCTTTTTTCACTTACTCCTCTGTGCTTTTTTTTTTTTGGGGTCTGGTCGTGGGCCTGAACTCTGGACCTGGGTGCTGTCCCTCAGCTCTTCAGCTCAAGGCTAGCACTCTACCACTTGAGCCACAGCGCCACATCCGGCTTTTTTCTTTTTTGCTTATGTGGTGCTGGGGAATTGAACCCAGGGCCTCAGACATGCAAGGCAAGCACTCTACCACTGAGCCACCTTCCCAGCCCCTCCTCTGTGCTTCTTGACACCCTCTCACAACCCTGTGTTTGAGATTCACCTAGGTTGTTGTCTGAAATGCAGTTCATCCATGTTATCTCTCATGCTGCATTCCATGTAAATCACACTTGACGTGTGACCATGGTGAGGATCATTTAACATCTCAGCTGCTTGCTTTTTCGGAGGGCTTGTATAATGCTATGAGCATTCTTGTATTTGTAAAGGGCTGGCTGCTTATTCCTAGTTCTTTTAAAAATTACATTTTCATTGTGGAGGTGGGAGGGAAGGGATGGTAGGGGAAAAACAAAGGAGGTAACAATGCTCCATAGGAAATGGACTCAATGCCTTGCTCATGTAACTGTAACCCCTCTGTACAGTATTTTTAAAACCGTACAAAAAATTACATTTTCATTTCATCCAATCCCTATTGTCACCAATATTAGGGTCATCTGACTAGTCAACATGATGCAGGCACATGATTTCTTTTTTCTTTTTCTTTTTTTACATGATGTCTTCATTGTCAGTTAAAAGTTTTATTTCCCTGATAATTAGTGAAATGAGAATCTTTTCATGGGTTTATGGGTCATTAGCATTTTCTCTATTATAAAATGCTTGCTAAGGTCTTTTGCTGATTTTCCTTTTTCTTTGAGATTTGTAGAAATTCTTTGTGTTCCTTAGAAGTGAATCATTTTTCAGTTGTTAGTACAAACATCTTCTGTAATTTGAGGCTTGCTTTTTACTTTTTAAAGTAGCATATATTAGTAATACCAGGAACTTTTCTTGTGATATTTCCACACATGAATCCTCTGCACAATGAATGCTGATCAACTTCACCCCTTTTAACTCTCCATCATCCCCTTTCCCTTCTTAAAACATCTTCAGCAAGTTTCACTATTCTATTTTCATCCAGGCAAATAAACTGCTCTGACCATATTAATCCTCATTTTCCCTCTTCATTAGCCCTCCCTACTCCTACTCCTACCCCTACTCCTACTCCCTACTCCTGACCATCTGACCATCATCAATCCACCCCTCCGACAGAGCTGATTTTACATTCCTATCAGTCTTTACCTTTCTCTCTTTCTCTTTCTTCCTTTCCTCCCTCCTTCCCACCCCTTCTTCTTTTTCTCTCTCTCTCTTTTTCTCTTTCCTTCCTGCTTCTCTGTCTTTTTTTTTGAGACAGGATCGTATTATGTGTCCCAAGATAGCTTTGAACTCAATATTATCTCACTTTCACCTCTCCTAGTGCTAGGATTACAGGCATACACCCCTGTGCTTGGTGAGAACATAATTTCCTTCTTCTTGTGGTATTGTGAATGAACCAAATACTTCAGGTTTTAGTTGGTCCAATTTTTCATTCTTTTCCTTTATTATTTACATCCTCTGGATCATATTTAATAAAATTCTTCCCTACCATAAAATTCTAAAGAAGAAATTGTCTATATTGTGTTTTAAAGTTCTATTGTTGTTTTTCACATCAGTGCTGTTGCTCCACCTGTGTCGGACATTAGTGAATGGCATACAGTAGCCATCCAATTTCCCATGTGGATATTTAATCATGTCAGTGCCATTTATCAAACACTGCAATTGTTCCCTACTGATCTGCAAAAAAAACATGTTTCCGCACATGTGGAAGAGTGGTTTTTGCTTCTATATTCAGTTCTCTTGGCGTATTCATCTGTCCTTAATCCAAGACATACCATCTAATAGCTTATACAGTAACAGTAAGTGATGGGATCTGGCCGGACAGGCCTCTTGGCTCTGCTGCTGTTCTGTAGGATGTGAATGATCTCTGGTCCTTTGCCAAGTAAACAAGTTTAACTGAGTTCTTCCTTTCCATGGGAATTTTTTTTTCCAATCCTCCTTTCTGAAGCCAGCATTCAACTAGTATTCTTTTTTTCTCTTTTTTAAAAATAAATTTCATTGTAAAGATATTATAATGAGTACATTTCCTATTGAGCATTGTTTCCTCCTCCTTTGTTTTTCCCCTACCATCCCTTCCCTCCCCACATCCCCAACTCTTCTCCCCCCAGGGTGTAAAGTTCATTTTCTTTTTTTTTAAATTAAGATTTTTATTATGAAAATACTGTACAAAGAGGTTACAGTTACATGAGTAAGGTAATGAGTACATTTCTTATACAGTATTGTTTCCTCCTCCTTTGTTTTTTCCCTACCATCCTTTCCCTCCCATCTCCTCAGTTAAACCTCCCAATCCCCCTCTTAAATTGTAAAGTTTGTTTTTTGACATAGTATCTTGTACATCTCATTGTTGCAATGGGTCCACCTGTATCTCTATTTAAACAATTTGTTTTTTCCCTTCCCCCCCCACAAATTATATCAACATCAAATACAGTGAAAACAGGGGTTATACTGTGGGGGAGGGA